TTAAAATGAATAGTTTAAATCAGCAAACAGGAAACCTTGATTTAAATGACTGATTTTTGTTCCTGTTTTGCATCTTGCATTTTTTTCCTTTACCCAAACATGATCAACTTTTCTTTAATACCAGCTAAAACAGGTTGATAAATATAGCCTTTATACTAAAGTAGGCACGTTTTTGCTAACCAGGAGGAAACTCCACGTCTATGTATATTTATGCTTGCATATCCTGTAATATTTATTAAGCTTTTTAATTTTTTAAACTTTGATTTTGCAAATAGTGGGGGATGCATTTTTACTTGCGATTTGTATCCAACTCGTGTTTGAATGGAAATTAAGAATTCAGATCTGGGCAAACAGTATGTAAAGTTGTTTGCTAGTTAAATAAAACCACCTAAGAAGTGCTAAATGCACAAAAATGAAGGTGATTTATCTAAAATGTTTTGCCAAGAGGTTAACCAAAGTGAGTGGTATTCTTAGTGATGGATTTTGACTGTTTCTGGTGCCTGTCACCTTCAGGAGTAAGTCTAATCCTCTTGCACTTAACTTTTACTTTGTAGATTTTAAAGAAAAAATGAGGCTTTCTATTTTCCATCTTTAAATTGGTTTCCTAGCTTTCAGCGATCCAGTCTCTGAACTCACTTAGCTGAATAAACCAAAATGAAGCAAATGATTCTCTTCACCCGCAGAAGAGGCTACTGCTGGCATAAGCTTGCTTAGCACTTTAATGAACTCTTGTTCTAGATACTTAGCCCATAATTTCACTCAGTTCAATGGCTTTCTTGGAAAAACCTGGCAGCAGTTACACATTACTTAACATGACATTATTTGTTATATTCAAGTGATTTGAATAAATCGCAGGTTTAAGCCATAACATTGGTTTGTCATTGTTTTTAAATTGGCTTTTCTTTAAAAAGAAAGATGTTTAATTTCGATTTTCTTTTTTAAAAAAGCATGTTAATCCGATTTTAAAAAGTAGACAGATTATTTTTATTGAGCTTGTGTGAACTGACCCGAGTCTTTCCACAGCAGAACAAGAGATTCTTACGCCCTGGAAGCGTGACCACGAGTTGGTAATTTGTGTCTGGATTTGGTAGCAGCCTTTCCCGCCCTTCTGCCATGGCTCAGTTGTTGCATACAGGCAGGTCACCTGTGTCGGGTCTCACCTGGCCCCATCTTCACGGCAGACTCCACGTGTGGGATAGGGGGTTCGGGGGATTGACTTGACATGCAGGGTGAATGCGATCGTTGTGCTCTCCAGCATGGGCTGGACATAGTAGCCAGCCTGAAGTTCTCCGCTGAATAGTTCAATGCTTGTGGAGTCCCTTGTGATTAAAGCCCAGGCGGCTGGGGACGGGCCAGCAATGACTGCCAGGCTCTCATAAGAGGACTTTGAAAAAGGAGTGCAGGTGCTGAGGCACACCAAGAAGTTCATTCAGTCCTGTTGAGTGTGAGAGCAGCTTTCCTGGGTGTGAGAAGCAGAGGGTTAAGCAGGCAGTCTGCACCTGATAGGAGAGGGTTTTTTAGAGAAGGAAATAGGTCATTCTTTACCCTTGACTGAGCAGAGATGGTAGAGATTTACTGTCTCTCTTGAGCGGGGAATGAGGTGCTGGCTTTTGAGTTAAATATAGTTGCGATATGGCAGAGATACAGGCATGGGCTCTGTGAGTCGAGCAGTTCTCCCAAAAGAGGGAGAAAAATGAATGTCCTCAGCTTGCATTTTCCAGGCAGCCTGCCTTGCTCTTTCATTCCTTCGCGCTGTCTCTATTCCTCTTCTGTGTCCCTGCTCCTGTGAGCCTGTCCACGTCCATGCCATCCCGAGGCAGGTTCCTGATGGTTTCAAGGTCTTTCTAAGCTTTTACTGGAATGGCGTAATAAAAACCTTCCAGAATCTCTGCAGTCAGTAACTGTGGGAAGATGAGAAGCTTATGAGAGAGCTGAAAACGCCCTTCCTGTGACAATTACGGCTAGGAATCCAATGTGCCTGATTGCTCTGCTGTAATTAGAGCTGGAAGAAGGATGCAAGTACCCCAAGCAGAGAGCTGTAAATGCTTCTAGCTGTCACTACTATGTTTGGTCCTTGATATTCCCAGTGTGGCCCTTCTCCATCATAATGGGTTTGGTTTTACTGGTTTACTTTGTAGGCCCTTCCATATTTATGGCGAAACATGAGCCAGATTTAGCCTGTCTCACTGGAAAATGAAAGAGAGGGAATTGTTTGCTCCAGGGGAGCCATAAAACACTGAGCGTAGAGACCTGGGGTGGATGGAGTGCATTCAGCATGATGTCCTGGCATCTTCTGGCTTGTCAAGAAAGGATGGATGGAGGAGCATGCTTTGGGGGTGCCACGGTGGGGAACTAGATGCAAGGTAGTGAATTGCATAGGAGGTTAGAGGGGAAGTGGGTACCCTACAGGTTTCAGAGCCTCACCCCCCCCAAATGATGAGTTTCTGGAATTAGGCAATCCATAATTGAGCGTTTCAGTATTGGGCTAGGCACTAAAGCACGCAGTTGACAGCACAGAGTTCACAGGTTCGAGGCCTCAGCAGAAGCGCTCATGGCACGGCCCTGTCAGATTCCAGCTGATCTGCAAATTCAGCTAAACGCCATGTCACAACACGGGTACGAGAAGGAAGGAAGGAAGTGTTGGGGCAGTGAAATGAATATAGCAAATCCAAGATAATTCACAAGGGTTAGGTTGCTAGTCCCCCTGCAGAGATGAGGGTGTGTGAATTAGCTGGGGGTCTACATAGCTGCAGCAAACAGCTGTGCTAGGATGACTGAGCTGCTCTAGGTTTTGCTGTGGCTTCTGTTTCAAAGGTTGTTCCTTTGATTAGCTGTGTGGGACCCCTGAGGAGCTCCAGCTGATCAGGAAAATGATGCCCTGTGAAGTAAAAGTGGCAGAAGCAGCTGAGCAGGCTGCCACTAATTCGGCGATCTTCTGTGAATTAAGTGGCTTGCAAACCACCCAGGCGTGAATGCGCTGGGTTCTGCTGGAATTGCTTGACCCACTGGTGACACACCTGGCAGCTCGGGGTTGTGTTTGGATCCTTGGAAACATGCTTCATCCTGGCTTAATGCAAAAGACTCTTAAAGGCAGAACCAGGGGAAGCTTTATATGAGATTCCCCTCTAAGCAGGATGCCTGTGAATGTACTCTGCGAAGGCGTATTTAGATCCCACTCCTGTGCAAGGCAATCTGGTGGGTGCTGAAGAGTAACTTTAGCTGCTGAATGAGCAAACCTCCTTGTTGTCCCCACAGCAGACGCCCAAAATTTGTAGCACAGCGACGGTCTGCCTGCTCTCACACTTGCTGCATGGAGACTCGCCGCTTGGTTTAATTTGTCTGCTGTTTTATTTATGACATGGAAAGTTGTCTGTAATAGGAATGTCAGTGTGTTGTTATTTTTTCATTACCTGATAATTCATAGCTGTGCTTAGGCCTTGCAGCCATTGCAAGGAGACAGTTGTACAAAAGCCAGGGCAGCCCAGGCTGGCCCATTCATTATGAATCTCTGACTGTAAATCCTGCTTTTTGTTGCTTGGGCAGGCAGGGTGTTTTATTCTTCAGTAACCTGAACAGCCAGTGACCAGGCCTCCCAGGTTTGCTGTGACTTTGATAATACCAGGATTTGTTTCTACTGGTCTTATCACTAGACTATTATTTCTACTAAGGGAAATAATGGTTTCTGACCCAGAATCCACCTCTGGGGCATAGTGAAGCCTTTATTTCCCATCTTCAGGTTTCTCTTGCCCATTGCAAGTAACTTTTTTTTACTTTGACAGGCCGATAAAACATCATTAGGGCTTTTTTTTTTTTTTGCATTGTTGGGCTAAAGGGCAGGCAAGCAGATTTAACATGGAGACTTGATGAATTTTAATGGCCATTTTTCAGTCCTGCTTTTAGTTCCTCCTAGTCTCGCTCTTCCACTTGGGACTAGTTGCAGACAGCCTGTTCTTCATGCCTGGGAAATGGCCAGAGCTAGTTGCTATTCCGCCCCACTCCACAGATTCTAGCAACTGCTCACGAGCTTTCCAGTCTCCCTTGTACACACAACGCATGGGTTAACGGTGCCAGGACTTTGGTGTTGGCTCTGTGGCCAGAGGAACGGCAAATATCCCTTGAGTATCTGTGCAGATAAGGATGATTAGGGAGGTATGAAAAAAATCTTACAAGGTACGTGGAAAAAGACACCCTTAGATGAAGAGGAAGTGATTGATTCAAAGGCAGCAGCATTACATTTTTGAAAGGCCCAGACTGTCCATTTCCTAAAATGGCCCTGGAAAAGAGAGAGTCCAGCAGAGGGCAGCAACAACGGGGCACATGAGTTATGAGAAGAGGCTGAAGGAACTGGGCTTGTTTAGTTTGGAGAAGAGAAGACTGGGGTGGGGATTTAATCACAGCCTTCAGCTACCTGAAGGGTGGCTCCAAGGAAGATGAGGCTAGACTGTTCTCAGTGGTGGCAGGTGACCGAACAAGGAGCAATGCAGGCTGCAGGAAGGGAAGTTGTGGTTCGATATTAGGTAGAGCTTTCTTACAAGGAGCGTAGTAAAGCACTGGAACAGGCTATCCAGACTGGTTGTAGAATCTCCATCGTCGGAGGTTTTTAAGACGCAACTAAACAAAGTCTTGGCTGGGAGGATCTAGTTGGGGAAGGTCCTGCTTTGAGCAAAGGGTTGAACTAGATGACCTCCTGAGGTCCCTTCAAAACCATCATTTTCTATGATTTTAAAAGGGCGACAGTTAGATATGCTTGCTAAAAAGCCAAATTATAAGCCTTTTACCATGTGACTTTCATCTGCTGTACAGACTGCTGCTGAAAGTAATGAAATGATAACTCCCTTGTATGTTCTTTATTATGCACTGCCACATTTTTCAAAGAGAAGCGTGCTTTTCCTTATCACTGCAGCTGTAGACTTGTATCAAGATGTGGCGCGGAGATTGCCTGCGTTGGAGGATAGTATTATGTTGAGACTGGACTTACAGTGTATTCTCTTGTTTTCCAGCATTCATCATCATGATTATTCTAGCCCTAATCCGCATCAGCAAGGGCCAGGCAGAAGGTCACCCATCTATGGCAAACCTCTCGGGGATCCAAAATCTCTTCGGGGTGTGTGTCTACTCCTTCATGTGTCAGCACTCTTTGCCATCGCTCATCACTCCAATCTCCAAGAAGAAGCATGTGAACAAGCTTGTGCTGCTCGATTATGTCTTAATTCTGGGTTTCTACAGCCTCCTGTCCTTCACCGCTATCTACTGCTTCCGCAATGAGACCCTTATGGACATGTACACACTCAACTTCACCAACTGTGACATCATCAACATTGCCTTCATTCGCTACTTCCTGGGTCTTTTCCCTGTCTTCACCATTAGCACCAACTTCCCAATCATCGCTGTGACACTGCGGAACAACTGGAAGACCCTCTTCCACCGGGAAGGTGGGACATATCCGTGGCTGGTAGACAGGATTGTCTTTCCGGCAATCACTCTGATTCCCCCTGTGGTGGTGGCTTTCTTCACCCATGACTTGGAGTCCTTGGTGGGTATCACTGGGGCTTATGCTGGCAATGGGATCCAGTACATCATTCCAGCTTTCTTGGCATACTGTAGTCGAAAGGATACTCAGTTGGTCTTTGGCAGTGGTACAGTCAACAAGCATCTGTCCCCTTTCCGGCACACCTGCTGGATCGGGTTTGTGCTGGTCTGGGGTTTTTCTTGTTTAGTGTTTGTGACTGCAAATATAATCCTGAGTGAGCCAAAACTCTGATGGGGCAGTCGCACTCTCCTCCCCAGGGTCCTGTAGGGGATTCCAAGATTTCAACTCTCACTGTAAGACTCAGGTTAGTGTAGGGGAGGACAGAAAACCAAGTCTTTCTAAGCAATCAGCTTGTCAATTCAGGTTTGATATGGACTCAAGGATTTCCTTTACACCGTTACGGTCACAGGTGACTTGCTCAACTACTTTGAATTCTGATCTGCAGACTCGGTATATGAAGCCATGGGCCTGCGCTCTTGGGAGGCCGCATGGTAAAAGAGCGTCTGACCATTTCTGCCTTGAGCTCTGGTACAGAGCATCTTCTTCTCCATCCAGGATTAGCCCCCTTAGTGCTGTGGACTTCAACAGGAGGCTGTTCCTCCTTCACCTGCTCCTCTTGAGAACAGAGTGAGTCTCTCTGCCAGAAGTGGGGAACCAAGAGAGCTGCTAACAGAATCTGATGGCAGGCCCACTGTGTTAGCAGAGTCCCCCTCCATCCCACTGAAGTTGCAGACTTTTGCCTACACTAACAGCTATCTTAGTGTCGTGGTGGGGAAAATGGTGATCAGTTGGCCTTCTCTGAGTAAGAATGGGGAGAGGATAGAGGAAGGGGCAGTGGTCGTCTTGGATGTGACGACTAGGCTGGTTACCGATTTGTTCTCCATTTGTTACTCCCTTGGCCTTTTTATTTGTCCTGTGCTCTATGGAGTGCATGCGTAGACTCAATGGGTCTGGGTTAGTTTTTATCTGTTATTAGTGTTCGCTACTAGCGGTTTTCCGGTTGTCTTCTAACAATCCCTTTGGAGGCCAAACTAGCTGCTTAAAGCTCTGACTCCCAGCTTCTTTCCCCCTTCATTACTACCCCTCAGCTACCCATGGTGGATGCCAGCGCACTAATTGGGCAGGCCCCACTCGTGCTGGATGGCCATATTCCTCAGCAGAGGAGTTAAAGCGGAAAGCCTGTCTTTCCCCAGCTCTTTGGCACTGCTAAGTGGCCTCAGCTGCCAGAGCAGACCTGCCTTTCACAAGAGCACTGGTGCAATAGGGCAGACCCCGTCTGCAATGGTCAGGATCCCTGTGTGCCGGGAGGTGCTAATTACCCCTTCGTGCTGCGCATTAGACCTGCAAGAGCTCTTGCTGTGCATCCTGCCGCATTTCCAGTCTCCAGCGCTGGGTAATTAGCCTCAAAAGGAGCTGGGTGTTAATTCAAGAGGAGAAAGCTGGTGCCAAGTGGAGAATGCAACATTGTGCTGCTTACTGTGCCTGTTTCATTGTTGAGAGAGAGCTTGCTGGTATTAAGACGGGGAGAGAGGGTAAGATAGACTAGGTGTCCCAAAAGCCATCATCCTACTTTTAAAGCTGTCCCCGTGCTTCAGGTTGAGAGTGTTTCTTGTAGCTGCTTTTGAGATAGGGTTTGAGTTATTCACCCTCCAAAAACTCAGTACAGACGTCTCCAAGATCGGAGGCTGATGAATGCTTCGGTGCCTGCTGGTGAGCTGCCTGTTTTATTGGACAGTGTGGCTTGCCCTCTTGATCTGAGGCTGCTACTGGCCTCTAACACTACAAAGTGACTTACGGTTTTGACTTCAGCAGCCTGAGGATCTTGGTTAAAGGTCATAAAAGCTTTAATAATAGAAGGAAGAACTATCACTTTTGAAACATTTTTAACCTGAAATATTTTAAAGCCCCCTTCCTCCCCCTCTCCACCCCATGGTATTAAACCAAGTTGAAAGCTGGCTGCCAAGCTTGGGTAATACCGATGCTTGCCCCCTGTACTGCTGCTATATTAAATGTCACTTTTCACCAACAGTGAGCTCTGAAATGCAAGCTCTTCTTAATCAAGTGTTATTTTTCAAGTACAATTTCCTAGCTTCCCCATAACCTGAAGCACTTCCTGCCATGGGAATATTCAAGTGGTTGGGGCTGCAGAAAAGCACTAGGGTTTGTTTTTTTTTTTTTTCCTTCAGCAAAAAATAAAAATATCCTTCAGCCCTGAGACATGAAGATGTCCTTGATGCACTACATAAAGCAGGATCTGCTGATGGGGCAGGGGGAGTCTGTGGCAATCCAATAAACCTGACTGTCCCTTACCTCCAGATGGCTCATAAACTTAGTTTGGCAGCCCTTACTGGTGCATTGGGTAGGTACCTGGATGGCTCCGACTGCTACAAAAAAAGCTGCTGTGGCTCCTTCAGGGCCAGGTTACTGAGTGGTTGGAGAGAGGGTATTGCTGAGGTCAGAGTCCTATTCTGGGTTAAGAGGATGAAAGCACATACGTCAGCTTGGAGGTCAAAGGCACGGTACAGCCAGGTCTGAAGCCCCTTGCTCAGTTTGCTCGTTCTTGTGGCTTGTACGAAGTCTGAAAGTCAGGGATGGGATAGATCACAGGCACTGTTGTAGGGCAGGCTGGGCCATCCTGTTCTTATATGCTCAGGGCTGGCCAAGGAAGTGATAGCTTTTGTATATGGCTAGTGACCAAAATGATCCCATGAAATAAGTAAACGCACTAGGTGGCATAAGGCCCCTCTTGGTGCGGGGACAGCTGGCCTCTCTCAGGCTCCAAGGCCTGTTCCTTGAGTCAACAAGCTGAGTCTCTCGCATTGTATCTTGCTGACAGCACCAGGACACACTACATCCTCAAGTGTCTGAGCAAATGGATAAACTTCATTCTTGCTTTCCTCTGCTTCCAGGGCTGTCAAATGCTCAGAGCCTCTCTTTCCACCCCCCCTACACACACACACGCACACAGTCTTGGGCCTGGACAACTGCCAGAAACCCATCTCTCTCGAGAGCTTTCCATGGTACAGGAGCAAACTTCAAGACCAGTGTGTTGGGCAGAGGCTGTTTGCGTACAGCAGGATGAACAGGCAACGTAACCTGTCTCTGATCTCCTGGCAAGCTCCATCTAGGACTCTAGCAAACCCCTGACTGCCAGGAAGTTCGACCTTTTAGTCTGAATGGGTCTGACTGTACATGGCAAAGCACAAAAGCATGTACACCCTCTTTGTACTGGAAACCGGTAGGTCACATTGGACTGGGAATGAAACAGCTTGCTTCTCTTCCACTAACCTCACCCTGCGTGGCCATGTGGGATTCCACAGCTGGACGCCTCCTGAAAGAGATTATTTTTAACTAGCTCCTATACGAAATGTGCCTTCTCTTCTCTGGCTTGGATTATCCCCTCTCCTCTTGTTAAATCTCTTTTTTGAATGTTGTACAAGGACAGTTTCTAAGGGATCTTGATATAAACTGTGAACTGGTGGCATAAACCAGCCTTGATTTAACGGTACAGCGAGGTCTGCCTTCCTCGCTACATTATGGAAGAAAGGCCTCTAAGGTCATTTAACCTTGGTGTCTATTGATGGCGCCCAACTGGAAGAGCTGTCGTCCTTATGGATGAAGATGATAGATGTTGGAAAGATTTTCTGGACACCTGCCATCCTTGAACAGCAAAAGAATCCACTATAGGAATTGGGACTATTTATAGGAGAAATGCTGCCATGGGGGGAATAAAAGGGGGGTGGAAATATTCATAGCTGAAAGCATGAAAAAGAAATGCCTTAAAAAGTTGAAGGGAGGGTTAGATGGATCGAGCTAGAACAAGTCGCTCAGTTTGATTGGGCTCATTGACAACAGCCGGGGAGATAATCAGTCACTGTCCTGGCTCAGTGTGGTGCAAAAGCTCGTCTCCTCCTGTCCTATTTAAGAATGAAATTATATTTTTAATTGGATATTATATACTCTAACAATCCATTATTATGGATCCTCACCGTGATGCACTCTCAGCTTGTCCCAATGTAATTATTTTTGGAGGGGAAAAAAGCATAAAAAATAAATGCACATTATACATCTGTTTTGGTCTGGCTTTTTTTTTCCCCCCTTCCTCTTCCTGTGAGCTCCTGTTGTTAGTCCATAGGAGAAGCCAGAGAGGGCAACAGCGGTGGTGATGACTTAGCGCAATTAAAGCACTGGTGTGCTCACCTTATTAGCCTCCTGCTTCCTGCATCTCTAGGTGTTCTCTGAAAACTCGATTAAAGCAGCCGTACGATACCCTTCTCCATTACGTTTCTGTACACTTAAAACTTAAACAAATTGAATCATTCCATTGCCTCAGGCAGCAAAGGCAGTTTCTGCCAGGAAATTTATTATCATCGTAAAACGCAGCTTGATTTATGTTAAAATATTAAAACACATCTTTACGATGGAAATAAACACTTTCTCCTCCTGTAATGTGCTCTAAGGATTTAAGAGGCAGTGGTGAGTTTTTGGAGGAGGGGGTGGGGTGCACTGTAAATACGAAAGCAAAGTGGGATTGGGCATGGGTTCAATAGTCTGCTGTCCTTCAAGGAACGCCACCAACCTAAGAGGAGCAGGAGGAAAGCCGTGACTGTTAGAAACAGGCTTGGAAAATGTTTAAGGGAAGAATGAGCTCCCTGCCCCTCTTTGTTTGGATTTTGTTTTCATCGGATCATATTTAAGGCTAGTGGGGGGAAGGAAGTGTCAAGCCTCTTTCCACAACATAAATACAGCCTGGGCATCAAATCCTTGGCTCAGACCTGCCGGCGGCTCAGTTGGCTGGGATAGAATGACTTGGTTTTCACATCCCATGTGTTTGCTCTTAGTAGCTTCTCTATGCAGTGTTTGCTTTTCCCGATACAGATGCTTCTCCTCTAGTAACTACTTTAGCAGCCAGCATGAGTCTGAGTTGTTTCACGGGTAGTCGGATTGTCTTTAGCAACCAGAGCTAAGTGCACCACTGACCAGTGGTTAAAAACTTAAAAGCTTCTTTTTTCCTTAAGTCTGTTTTTCCCCCGCAGTTCAGTGTTTTTAAGCACTGGATAATAACGTCGTCTTCTTTACACAGACTAGATAATACCTCCTTCTTCTTTGAGGCTATGAATATCTACAGTGTTACCCTGCTAAGAGCTGTGTAAGGTTGATGGATGCTTTGAGTGACCCTATTGGAAGCCTCTATGTAGACACAGGATATTTGGCTGGAATAGTTTTTGCCTTGTCTCTGTGCTTTTTGCTAGAGAGTTCAGGCTGCTGTCTCACAGACTGACGCTGTGCTGCCCCGGCTCTACCCCATCTGTTCATGAGCCAGCCGTCCCTCAAGAAGCATTTTTCATTCTTCAAGCACATCCCTGAAAGAATTTAAGGTAAACTTTAATGCAGCGGTGAAATCTCGTTTGAATTTCCAAGCTGTTTGAAGCGGGAAGCACGCTCCGGCGTGAACAGAAATTCCAAAAGCCTGGTTGAAGTTGGAGCCGGCAGAGTTGGATTCGCGTTTTTATCTCCGGCTTAAAACAGAGGTGTCAAACATGCTGCTTCCCATGGGCCAAATTCAGAAGCAACAACAGAGCAAGTGGCAGCGACACGCAGGTTAATACAGCCCCTGCTTATGCCCTGGCCCAGAAGACATAGGTCCATGGGATAGATCTGGCCCATAGGCCATATGTTTGACACCCCTGGCTTAGACATTTCCCCTGGCCAAGATGAGACGTTATCGGCAGGTGCATCAAGCCAAAGAGGCTAGAAAGACGAGAAGCGTTTTGCAGTGCTGCAAGAAAGAGCTACGGCGCTCACGCCAGGAAGAATCGCACCCTTCCTAATTCTTTTCAGTCATCATCCCGCCTATGGTCTTTGGTTAGCACCATCTTATCAAGTTTTCAGATGCCTTCCATGCTAAAACTTCCATTCCCTATGCAGAACAGAAACCTGCAGAGCTCTGCTGAAGTGAAAGGAGAAGGGTTGGAAGTTAATTAGAGAGGGCAGCTGGAGGCAGAAGGTAGATGACAGTTGAGGACACACTGCCAAGTGGTAGGAGGCAGAGAACCCCATGCCAGGGCTGTTGCCTCACAACTGCTCTTTGTAAGTGAAGCTGGGAAAAGCTATATGAGAGTGGCAGCGAGGCTGCAGGTTTCAAAGGTAACCTTAGGTGCAGGGGAAAAAGAACAAACAGCAGTGGAGGGAAGAAATTAGGCTGTTGGCTCTTTTTAATAGAGATTGGGATGGAAGCTGGTTGTCAGTAGTACTTCACCTGCAACCTCCACAAACCTGTGTTGCAGGGCTGATGAAGGCAAGGAAATGAACCCTATTTTATCCATGCAGAAAGTGAGGTATAAAGCATTACTGAGCAGTCCTGTTCCTTTGTATTCAGAAGTGCTGGCGGTTGGACCATGTTGTATTGTGACATAAAAGACCCGCTAATGCCACCACCCTGGAGAAAGCCTTGCCTTTAACTTGGCTTCCAGGTTCTACCGCAAACAGCATCAAATCATTCTAGGCTTGAAGAATGATAATAAGCACCTGGCTTCTGTGAACCATCAGCGGTGCAAAGAAAAAAAATCATAGTTTGAAGCCAGTTGTCTCTTCATGTGTCTGGTCATCTTGCTCAGAGAGGTTTGGATCTTCAGACTACTTTTGATGGCCTCTAACAACTCAGAAATATGTGGTGGGGTGTATATATTTAGTTAGTTAATCTAGAAAGGTGCATATCCAGCCTGTCGTCTTTCTAACAGCTCCCCACCCCACTTCTTTTCATAGAGTTGTAGGGCTACAAGGGGCTTCCTGTGTCACCTAGTCTAACCCCATTGCTTTAGCAGTCCTGGGAGAAGGGTCCAGAAACCAGGGCTCACCTTCCCCATTGGTGCTACTGAATCGAGCACAAGCTGCTTCCCCTCTTGAGAAGTGGTCTTGCATTTCCAGTCCAGTACTTTAACCACCTGCTCATCACAGCTACTTCTTTCAGTCCTCTTTTATGCTGTACCTATTGAGCCTCTGTAAATCTTTATTGAAGCAGAAAGCCTTTGTACCACCCAACTGCTGCTTTTTGCCATGTGTAGTGCTCGCTGTTACCTTCATCTGATATGGTGATGTTTTGTTTTTTGCTTTGAGTCTTAAGATGGTGCCATTCCCCTGTACCATCGTGGCCTTGTTTCCCAACACTAGATATTAATAATTTGGGAGCATAAGCAAGTAGGGCTGGAAGGGACCTCACAAAGTCATCTAGTCCAGCCTCCTGCTCAAGGCAGGATCATTCCTGACTAAACCTTTCCAGCCCAAACTATTAAAGTAACCCCTGGAAACCCAGTCACCAGAATCCTATTGTACCAAATGCTGTCCAACCCCAGAGCAAGCAAGACCCTTCCCCAGATCGTTCACCATTCAGACAGCAGCCACTGGCCCAGGACTGAGCCCTGTTCCTGTGGCCGTGAGAGCTGGTTGGCTTTCCTAATCCTGAGAATGAAATGAAAAAAATGGAAATAGGTTTTTTTTAAGCATGTTCTCTCAGCCAGTGAAGGAGGTAGCATTAAACACCACAAAAGATAAGTATATTAAGGCATGAAGAGATTAGGTGACCCTAGTGAACATTTCTCAGCAAAGCCTGCCGTGAGCAAAACCCAGGGGTCCTGGCTCCTATTTCCCTAACGTGACTCTGGACTAGTATTGGGCAGTATCATACAGATACAATACATTTTTCTCCACTGGCCTATAAGATTTCAGTTTTGTGAACTGTCCTGCCCTTCGGTTCTTCACTACTGAAGTTTCTCTCGCCCTCACTTATCCATGAAACACATTTCATTTTAATGTGCGATTCCCTTGGTTTTGTGTCTGTAGGAAAAGGACATTGTCAAGGCACTTGAGAGAGAAAGTGTTGATCCTCTAACACTCTCCAGAGTGTCTGGGACAATAGATGGTCTGACGTGAGCTCATTTTAAGAGCTGCTTGGAGGCCCGCGGTCCCTGATGCTAGGGGAAGGGAGCGCAGTGTCAGCCTGCCTTTGGCTCAAATGGCATCTATATGCATGGATGGGGAGTCTGACTTTTTCAAGCCATGCTTTAATTAGCTTTTTTTTCATATGCAAATAAATCCTTAGATCACTTAAGCAGCACACTGGCTGGAAATTTCAATATTTGAGCAAGGTCAGTTGGTACCGTTTGAATTGTCCAGTGACTTTTTTAATTGAAATGCAAACATCCATTCATTGCCTTCCAGTAAATCACTCAAGCCCAAGTTAGTTTTCAGAGTTTGTACTAACCCACTGCTGAAGTGCTGGGAACCTGTCTTGAAGGCTAATGGTAATCCTTGTCTCCTTTAAGAGGAGTTAGTATTGGGGGCGGTTGTGTCTCCAGAGAAATAGTCGATAAAAAATAAATATGTTAATAAAAGGTTTATTGCCTTCATCCTTTAGCTTGCTATACCTGGGGAGGAAACGTGTGCTCTTATTATTAGAACAAAAGGGCTGATAGAACGAGGTATCTGTCTCTGTTTGTGGTTGACAGAGCAACCTCTGAGTCACTCCACCCCCCTTAGTTTCCTTTCTGGTCCGATGGGCATACCCCCAGTTGCCCCCAGTTAAGAGCCTGACGAGGAGGTTTGCAAAGCTTGCATGCCTGCCTGGGTTAAGGTGCTAAAAGGTTGTATACACGTACGATGGATTTTGTCCTAATGCAGCACCTTTCTCGTAGCTGGCTTTTGTCTCCTACATCAAAGCCAGCCTTCTCTTCCCTGCAGCACCGCTACAGGCCACTCCCCAGCTCTACCTTTGCCCTCGTCTCTGTTAGCTTCTAGCCCACCTGCTCCTCTCCGCCCTTCACACCTTTTCTGGCTTCCTGCGCTTGCCGGCCTCTCTTACCCAAACCTTGGAGGGGGCACCTGCTACCTCTACACTTAAATCCTTCCTTTAAGCTCCCTCCTCTTGCCTGCCTCGGTAAAATGGTGCCATTCCCCCCCTAACCCTGTTTCCCCTGCAGACACAAAGCTAGAAGCACCCTATGGTTACAGTCTAGGCCAGATGTGCATGTTCCTGGCTTTAAAGTCCTTGGTGCTGGAGCTGTGACCTTCTGCA